ATCTTTTTTAAAAAAATTTTATTAATTTTAATGAACATTGACAGAGATTGTGGATTTCCATTCATTGCTGCACCTTTCTACCTGCTCCCCTCCCCCCAGTTCCTGCTTTTCTTTGAAAAGTAAAATTACTTCATTGGTATACAATACACCCACCCCCGCCCCAAGTACACTCTACTATGCAACCTTCATTCTGGACTCTTGTGATAACCATAATACCTGTGACTGGTTGGGGTTTTTTTTTTTGGTTTTTTTTTTAAAGTGTAATTTCCATTTTATTTTCAGACGAGTTTTTTCTTCAGCCTCTTAAGGAATCATATCCTTACATAGGCTTTGGTGGTGGTCGTGGGGCAGCACCTGCAGGTCTAAATCTAGGTGGAGGTGTCCGGTCCTTTCGGGCTTCACGAGAACGGTTCCTCACGACCTTGCTGTGAATGGCACAACTCACACAATAGTGCAGTTTCACATAGAGCTTTGGAAGCACATAGGCCGTCGAAAACACTCGCTTCGGAAATGTCCCTGACAGCAGCTGCCTCTACTATATTTCGGATTCCGAACTTCTTAATTGCCTTGTCTTTGGGCACGCACCGGGCGCAGCTCGTGCAGCGAATAGGCTGCACGTGGCCGTGGCCCTTTTTGGCACGACCGTTGTTTCTCCTTTTCTTCGTCATGTTGGAAGCAAGGATCCGAGAGACTGTGACTGGTTTTTAAAAAGGAGGACACCAGGCTCTTCTACTTAGTGCCTCTGCATGGCTTTGAACCTCTGACCTTTCAGTTAGCAGCCAAGCAGCTTGTAACATTCACATTGTCACTGCCCCACTTATAACTTATCCAGTGCTTCAGGACGCATGAGCACAGCAGGTATTAATCCATAACAGTTCGTGGAGACCAAACTGTTTGTTGTTGTTGTTGTTGTTGTTATGTGCCATGGAGTTGCTTGCGACTCATAGCGACCCTATGTACAACAGCCCTAAACTCTGCTCTGTCCTGTGCCAGTCGCACTGTCTCTGATGCTCCCATCCTGATTACCCCAGTCACTGAATCAATCCACCTCATAGAGGGTCTTCCCCTCCTGCGCTGTCCCTCCACCCTCCCAAGCGTGATGTCCTTCTCCAAGGACCGGTCTCTCCTCACAACATGTCCATAGTATGCTAGACTGAGCCTCAGAATCCTTGCCTCCAAGGAGCCACCCGGTTTAACCTTTCCAGGACGAATCTGTTTGTTTTCCAAACTGTTACCACTCCCATTTTCCAGCTGGGGAGACTGAGGCACAGTGAGGATAAGTAACTGAGTCAAGCACTAAACTAAGGCTGCTGTAAGAGAAATACCGCACATATGTGGTTTTAACAGACACTTTTTTTTTAATGGTTTAAGAGATGAGAGCTCTCAAGGAAGGTCCCTGTCTCCCTGAGCATCTGTGGGGCTGATGTTCCTAGGAGGTCGGTGTGTGGCTTGGCATTGTTTTCATCTCTCAGCGGATGTGAGAGGAGTTCTGGAGGCAGTTGCCCTGCTCACCCCAAGGCTGGAGGGTCTTTGGTGGTTTGAATCTGCCAGCAACTGCAAGGGAGAAAGATGGGCAACCTCGTCTCATCTGATTTATGGCCTCAGAAACTCGGAGTTGGTTCCAACTTGACAGCCTTTTGAGTTTGAGGTGTGGTTTGTTAATGAGGTAGAAGGAGTGACTCAAGCAAGGACCGGAGTGGGATTTGAGTCACACCTTCTTTTAAGGCTGTGGCAACAATAGAGCTTTGTTTTGGGTTTCGGGGGCTGGGTTGGGTGGAGTCCTTGAGTTAATGTTCAACTGGTGGTTCGAATCTGCCCAGAGGCGCTTTGGAAGGAAGAACCTTGCAGCCTTGAACCACACCACCACCACCACCACCATAGGACAGTTCTCCCCTGGGGGCGCAGTGCTTTGGAATCAGCTGACTGACGTCTTTGGTGGCTGGCAGGGCAAGTTCTGACAGGATCCTCCTTGGTCCTGGTGGAGACAAGTCAAGGGAGAGACCAGAGTTCTCTGCCCCTCTGCTCTTTCCCCACTGGCCAGCGAAGTTTAATAATGCTCACAAAATGATAATCTCAGCGCTGCTAATAGCCAGACCACAGGAGGTGCAGTGCTCAGCAGCGCTTGACAGCTAACTGAAAGGTTGGCAGTTTGAATCCGTCAGCTGCTGTAAGGGAGAAAGCTGTCACTCTGAGCTTCGGTAAAGATCGTGCCCTGGAAACCTTGTCCCCCACAACCAGTGCTCCCCTTTCTGCCTCCAGAGCCCCCTCTCACTCACTCTTCTGGCCTTTCTGCCTCACAGCCTCTCTTTCCGCTCTTTCCACAGCTGGCCCCCAAGAGGACGCTCCCCAAGTCCCCAGCTGGGGGCCCTGCGTAGACCTGGAGCGGACAACCCCTCCTTCCCTTCATGATTCGTGTGTAGCACAGGTAACAGGGGAACCTGATCCACCCCTGGGGGCAGCCCTCACCCCATCTCCCCCCGGACTCTCCCCTTCTACTTTTACAGCCACATAGGAGGGAAGAACCTTCCTTCTTGGTAACTTTCAACTCCACCCTCTCCAGCATGACCCCCACTGTCACCCCAAAAAGAAAGTGTGTGGGTGGTAGTGTTAGCCCAGAACCCAGAGAGAGGGGGAGATTGTTGTTAACCAAGATCCATGAATTGTTTGTATATGTGTTTGTTTTTCTTTTTTTGAAATGAATTTTAATGAAAGTTTACAGACACTTTGGATTTCCATTCATTCATTGTTGCTGGATATGTGTTTGTGCACGTGTGTGCATGTGCCCAGGGACCATGAGGGGGAGAGAGTGAGTGAGTATCTGTGTGTATGAGTGTGTGCATATGCAGGCGTGCAGGCGTGGTGATGTTTGTTAACTTAAAACCTATAAAAAGTGGGGACGCTCTGGTGGTCTAGTGGCAAGGAGCTGCAGCTACAATCCCAGAGGCTCACGGTTCGAATCCACCTGATGCTCTGCCGGGGAAGGAGGGACGGTCTCCTCCTGTACCAGTCAGATCTGATTTGACGGTACACACACACACACAAAACCTATAAAAAGTGTACATATGTATATGTTAATTAGCCTAGAGGCCAGGAAGAATGTGTGTACATATGTGTGTCTGGTGAGCATACATGAACCCCGGGAAAGTATAAATCATATTTTTTTTACCCACATGCATGTCTAGCAAGAGGGTTCTCAGTTGTCCTCCGATTAACCACAGCCCGGTTTAGAGAAGACCCTGACCCGGTTACGGGAGGTGCCTGTCTGAGAGTCTCCATTCTGTCCCAGAACAGTTGAGGGTAGTGGGTGGTGGAGGTGATGGTTAGGAGGTTCCTCTTAGAGAATCAGTTGGGGGGAAGGGTACATGAAGATGCTGCATATGTTTGTTTTGGGAAATGGGGAGAACTCATGACCATTACTTCGTACATCCTCAGTGAGATCCGGGACCTCCTCCCACTCCACCACCCCCTAAAACAAACAAACAAAAGTTGAGAACTCCATGACCCTCGACTGTAAATCCACGCCATTTGGGTATCCTTCGTGCATTAAGGATGAATGGATGAGAGGATGGGTCAGTTTGGGTTTTTTAGAAGAAGGGACAGATGGATAGACATTTGGAAGTTTAGGAGGCTGGGGGGATGGATGGCAGTTTGGAGGGGTGAAGGTTTTAGAAGGGTGGAGGAACGGTGGATGAGAGGAGAGGAGAACATTTAGAAGTAGAGAGGATAGATGGAGTGTTGGAAGGCTACGTGGATGGTTGGACATCTGAAAGGATAGAGGAACGGATAGAGAACCGTTTGGATAATGGAATATTTGGAAGATGGAAAAAAACGGATGAAAGTTTGACGAGATGGATAGGTATTTGGAGGGATGGAGGAATGTTTAGAAGGTTGTTAGGATGGAATTCAAGCAGCAGAGGAGGGAGTTAGGAAAGATAGAGGGTGTTTGGAAGAATGGTGCGATGGGGTGGACGCAGGTTTGGAGATTGGAAAGATGGAAGGAATGGTGGGAGTTTGGAACGCCAGAAGATTGAGGGGTGTTTGAAAGGATGGATGCTGGATAGATAGATAGATAGATAGATAGATAGATAGATGATGGATAGATGGATGGATGGATGGATAGGCAGGTAGGCTGGCAGGAAAGAAAGGAGGAAGGTGAGTGAATGGTTTGATAGAACTTCAGTTTTCCCATGTGTAAAATGGGGCTACCTATAGCCCCTTCTTCACAGAGGCTGAACGAGTTAATATTTGTGACACCCTTAGGATATTGCCTGTACATAGCAAGTGTTTAACAGCCGACCTCAACTTCTCTGGGCCTTCTCTCACTCGGGGGCCCATCCTCATGCATCCCTTTCCTTTTCTTCTGCCTCAGTTTCCCCTTCACTCTTACCTTCCTCGAACCACACTGTGTGCATCTTCAAGGAGGCCCAGAATCTGGGCTGTAAACCTTTCTTGTTACCCACACCCCCCTACTCATTTCTTCACCATTCATACTTGGGACACACTCCTCTTGGCGCCAGCCCTCAGAGAGGCAGGCCCGCTGGGTGTCCTGGGACCCAGCCTGTCCCCGTTCAAGGCCTGACTGTCCCCCTGGATACTAACTTTGCAAACTGTGGGTGCAAGAACCCACCTCATGGGATGTTATGAGGATTTAAATTGGTTACACATGGGGGAAGCATATAGCATACATGCCAGAGCTCAGGAACTCTTGGTCCTCATGGACACATATTGCTGGAAAAAGAGTCATGGCGGAGTTCGAGGGTTTTTTTGGGGAGCAGCAGTGAGAGAAGAGAGGAAGCTATCCTTGGTCAGGAGGTTCAAGTAGAATGAGTATCCAGGTGGGCTCCCTGCTCCCACCTATCCTTATAGGCTGAAGGAACAGAAACTCTAACCCCAGAAACCTGGCTTTGGGGGCCTATCCTCTAAGGGAGGGGTCAAGCAAGCTACCCACATCTAACCTTGTGTCCCTCTCCCTCTTCCTGGCCCCACCCCACCCAGTGGCGATGGATGATGAGGATGGGAGATGCTTACTAGACGTGATTTGGTAAGTAACCTACCCCTGCTCTCTGCCTCAAACCGCTCCCCATTCTCCCTTCCCTGTCAGCCTTCTCTCCCCCACACTCACGCCTCACTTGCTCAGTGTCTCTTCCTCTTCTCTCTTTCAGTGACCCTCAAGCCCTCAATGATTTTTTGCATGGATCCGAGAAGGTAAGTGCTGGGGTGAGAAGAGACCTACTAGAGGCAGAGGGCTGATAAAATCGGGAGGTGCAGAAGGAGTGAGCGAAGCACCCTCACTTCTGAAGACATCAAACACAACCCCTGCCTCCTCTGCTGCCTATTGTGAGCCAGGCCTTTGAGTTATAGCCAGAATGTTGTTGTTGTTGTTGTTGTTATGTGCCGTCGAGCCAGGCCTTTGAGTTACAGCCAGAATGAAGCAGATAATAACTCCCAGCCCTCCCATCCTATCCCTATCCTCACACGCCATCCCACCCTGTCCCTGACCTCCCACCCTATCCCTGCCATCCCACCCTGTCCCTGACCTCACACCCTATCCCTGCTCTCACACCCCAGTCCCTGCCATTGAACCCTGTCCCTTCCCTCACACCCTCTCTCTACCCTCACACTCTATCCCTGCCCTCACACCCCTGACAAGTAAAGAAATCAATAACTAATAAAGACAGTAGAACACGTCCTACAGAGCATGATGATAGGTAATAAGAATGTCACATTATTTAAATTACAGCAAAAGTCATTTAAAATAAAAGAATGAGGAGCCTCTTGAGCTAATATGGTCAGGGAAGATCACTCTAAGGAGATGACATTGAGGGTGAGAACCCCAAAAGGGTAGGACACCTGGCATGGGGAAGAGGTGGTGCAAACACAGGAAGGAGCTTGACTTGTTCAGGAATAGAACTGGCGGGTCACACTGAAGGAGATGCTAAGAAATGGTGAGCTTCCCATAGTGTTTCTGTCCATTTGTTTGTTGATGGGCACGTGGACTGCTTCCAACTCTTTGCTGCTGTGAATAACACAGCAAGAAACGTGGATGTGCACACACTACAAAAAAAAGAAAAGAGGTGGTAAGCTGAGTGGACAGAAAGCCTGTCTAGAGGACAGGGAGCTTTAATGCATGAAGCACGGGATGCTAGAATCTGACTTGCTTTCTAGTGAATGAAGAGAGGAAGCCTAGGAAACCACGAAGAAGAGGAGCCCTGTTTGCTCCTACAGCCGTATAACACGTTAACAGATTTGAACATTTATGTGCATGGGCTCTCAGGGTCCAGAGTCTGGGAGCAGCTTATTAGCTCATTGACTCTGATTCAAGATCTCTTAGAAGGTTGCGCTCAAAATGTTGGCCAAGGTTACAGTCTTCCAAGGTCTTTCTGGACTTTGGTAATGTGCTTGTGACTTCAGTCCTACAACTGTTGGCTGGAGGCCTCAGTTCTTCACCACTTGGGGCTTCTCTAGAGTGCTGCTTGAGTGTCCTCGCAGCATGGCTGCTGGTGACCCCGGAGCGAGTGATCCAGGAGACAGAGAGCAAAGAGGAAGCCACAGTGCATTTTATGACCTACTAGTAGGAGTCACACACCATCACTTCCACCACATTGAATCCCTCCCAAGTCAGTCACTAAATGCAGCCCACACTCAGAGGAAGGAGAGTCGAGTTCCACGGCTTGAAGGGCTGTTATTATTGTTATCAGATGCCATTAAGTCTATTCCAGCTCAGAGCGACCTTGTGTGACACAGCAGAACTGCCCACGTGGGTTTTTCTAAACTCTAACTTTACAGGAACAGATTGCTTATGTCTTTCTCCAGAGGAGCTGGTTAATGAGTTCAAACAGCTCACCTTTTGGTTAACAGTTGAAAGCTTCACCATTGAGCTACCAGGCCTCCTTTCTTGAAAAGAGAACTATCAAATAATTTGTGGATAGAAGGCAAGAGAATGACACTGGCTCAAACCACAGTACCGACATTGAGAGGGAGTGCGAAGTCTTGGATTTGGGATCTCTTTAAGGGGTAAGAATCATTAAGAGTTGCTTTGCTGAGGAAGAGAATGGTGTCTGAGATGACTTCTGGATTTCGGATTACAATTCTATCTCTTGAGAATAAGAGTTTGGGACACCAACACCTCAGGAAACATCTGGACTCATTGACATCACATCACATGGTTCACCAAGACAATGTCCTCATTCCTTCTGTGAATAACAACTGGGATCTTCAGAGCTTGTAAGCAGATAGGTAAGGTCCAACTATTGGACTCTCCCTCTGTGGAACAACAAAGAGTGAAGAAAAGCTAAGACTCAAGGAAGTAAATTATCCAGAGGACCATGAGAACCACAAGAAGCAGACCCTCCGCGACCCAGAGATCAGATGAATTAGATGGTGTCCAACTCCTACTGCCGACTACTCTCAGGGAAGGTCCTGGACAGAATGAAGGGGAACGCAGGACACAATTCACAAGCATAAAATGAACAGACTTATGGACTAATAGACTTGGTGGATCCTGTAGACCCCTTTGATATCCTTCCGAACTGGAACTGAACTCACTCCTCCGTGGTCCACCTTTCAGAGGACAGCCAGCCCGTAACAGTTCCACCCGTGAGGAACATCCTCCTCGCAGCAGTCAACCATGTGAGGCTAAAAGAGCAGCATTTATCCTTAACCACCAAACCAAACAAAACTCAGAGGCAGGGTGGGTGGGCCAATGGGAACAGGAGCCCAGAGAGGAAGTGGGAAGGGTGCTGCCACTGAGGGGATTGCAGGCAGTGTCATGAAACAAAAATGTGTGCAAAGTGTGGGATGGAAAACAGATGTGGGCTGTGGAAGAGGCTGTTGGTTCCATGAATTGGGGCTCTTGGCTCTGTGAATCGCAGCTGTCTAGAGCATCCCCCAGTTTGAACAAAGACCTGGAGATGGGACTCAGGCTTTCAATACAAGCATGTCATGAGGTCCTCAGAGGCCAGGCTGGGGGACTCAAGGGGACACTTTATTGGGTTCATGGGGGAGGGATTTTTTAAGAACCGTTTTTGTGGTTTAGGTGAAAGTTTGCAAAGCAAATACTAGTTTTCCATTCAGTAAGTTACATTTTATTTCATCTTTTTTAAAAAAAAAAACCCAAAAACACAGCCAAACAAAAGAAATGTATTGTCTCATACTTCTAGACGCTATTGTATGCCATCAGAGAGATTGCAACTTCTAGGGACCCTATGGGACAGAATGGAAGTCTAATCTGGTTTCTTTTTTTTAATTATTAT